TTTTAATATATTAGGAAGCGCAAAACTTTGTTGGAAACAGAACAAACATAATATTGAATTTGTAATAATTTATTTGTTGTCTTTCAGCTGCCATTCTTCATTTTATGTCAGATTATTTTGTTTCTAAAATATTTAAGTAATGCATATCCTCACTTTTACGGGGAAAGTGCGTTACAACGCTAGTTACTGAAAAAGATCGTCAAAGTAAATTTGCTATCATCATTTTATGAAAGAATTCAACTTATTAGTTGCATGTAAAAGTAAAAACATAATTTTAACTTTAAAAGAATTTAATTTGTTGTTGTGACCAAACTTTTATGCTTTTATGTTTCAGCTTTACTGCTATTTTTATTTTTACACTTTCAGCTTTACTGCTATTTTTATTTTTTATTACAGCAGTTGAAGCAAATGTCTTTAATAAAAGGTTGAAAAAATTAAAAACTTTAATGTGCCAAAGATTCACTACATCGGCGTGTTAAAAAGGCTTTACTTGAAAGTATTTTACATACAAATTTACTTGAAAGATTTAGAAAAGTGCATTCTAATAATCAAGAGCAATATCTAAGAAGAAATAAGTATATTAAAGAAGAAATAAGTATATTAAAGATATGGACAATTCATTTTATGGTCTCTTAATGATGTATATTAGACCGATAGTATTTGAGTTCTGCAAAAAAAATTTAGTTCCGAACCCTTTTAACAAAAAATGTAAATTAACAGGAGAAGACTTTTTGCGAGGCGTTTTAAAACACCATCCTGATTTATCACTCAGAAAACCAGAAGCGTTTCAATAAACGTATTTGAGTATTTGATTTGAATGAAGATAATATTTAAAGCTTTTTTAGTAATTTATTGAATTTGTTAGACAAATATTACTTTGAGCCAAAAGTTACCGTATATAGATGTTTGGACAAAACCTTGATTTTTGATAGTTTCAGGAAAACTTTCAGTGTTAATGTTAAAGAGGTGAGGCGAAAGAATCGATCTTGGTCTCACTCCTTGCTTTATAAGAAAAGAGTTTGATTTACAACCTTAATATGAGACTGTTGCACTACTATTGTTATATAACAAAGAGAGAGTATTAACTATACAGAATGGTAATTTTTTATTGAAATAGAATTTATCAAATAGAATATCCCTCTTGATATTTTTTTTTGCACATTAGATGCAGAAAAACCTTTTGATAGTTACAAATATCAAAAGCTTTTTCTGCATCTAAAGAGCATAGGTGCACAAGGTAGTTCTTGCTGTTGTAATGTTTAATTGTTTCGCTAATTAAAAATTCAGCATGTAGCGTTTTACAGTTAGCATTGAATCCAAATTGTAGGGGGTAGGTATCTCTAATATCTGGACATATAATGAAGATTAGGTATTCTAGAACCTTTATGAAAATTGTTATTATGCTAATATCACTATAGATCCTCGGGCTATCTAAAGATTTTTTGTACGATTTAACAAGGGGTACAATAATTGATGTTGATATTGTTATCCATCCATAATTAATGGAGTAATTAAAAAATTTGATGAGCTATTATGTTAAAATATCACAATTTGAGTATTTCAAATGTTTTGCAGAGATACCGAAAGAGTTAGGAGATTTTTTAATTTTAGGTTCAAAATAGCCCTATTTATATTTTCTTCAGTTATTGTAATATCATTATGTTTTGCTCACAGGGAAAATCTTCAATTTTCAATACGATGTGTTATTTTTGAATTATTCAGTATTCTTTCGAAGTGGTTTGCAAATTCTGAAGTAATGGGTTCTTTGTCTTTTTTATTATTTATGGTAATTGATCTAGAACTTATGTCTTTGTTTAAACATCTAAAAACATTCCAAACGTTTTTTTGGACTGATATTTTTAACTTTTCAAGTACGCAAATTTTGTTATTTTGAGTCAACTTGACGGCTTTGCGAAAGTTTTTACGAGCGATTAGGTAACGATTAAAAATTACAGAGTTTGAATTTAAAAAAAAAAACAGAATCTTATGATCAATATATGAAAAATTTGTTAGTGTCGATATGTATAACTAGGGCCAGAACCATAAGTTACATTTACTAGTTCTAATTGATTTGTTTTTAGAAGTTTAGATAAGTGCACAGAATAATTATATCTTCTGGAATTCTATCTTTCAAATAAATAATATATTTTGTGAGAAAAAGATCGTAAGTCACCGGCTATAATTATATTGCAGTTACTTCGTAACTATTAATTAGACCTTTGACGATATCTAGATGACTTTTGTATTCTTCCAGTGATAAGAGGCTGTTCAGCGATCAGGAGAGTTATATTCTAATAACTATAGAATTAAGTTCATTTTTTTTCGAAATTTATTACTAAAGTATGGTCATCCTCGTAAATTAATGTTTTGAAATTTATTTTTTTGTATAAGGAATGCATTTCCACCAAATCGTCGATATTTTTCATGTTTATTAGACTGATAGAAGTTAATGGAGTGTGTATTATTATATATATCTCTTATTATGGAGTATTCAAGTTTAGATATCCAATGTTCACATAAAAACGTTTTATCATAAGATTGTATTCAGTGACTTTGTAAATTCAATGTTTGACTTAAGTCCCTGACAGTTAAAAATACATATATCAAAAGTTGTTGAAGGTTTTTTTTTCTCTTATGCTGCTTGGTTCCATTTTCAATTAAAATTTTTTATCCTGGCTCCTGTTGGATACCAGATTTTGTTAACTGTTTTTAAAAAAGTGTTATATTCTAAAAGGCTTTACAAATATATTATTGTGCCATATCTCAGGGTTGAATATTTTATTTTTTCCGAATTGTTTATTGTAACTCGAAACAATCTATTATACTCGTATGTTCATTTCACTTATCGTTATGCATTTTACTTATCGTATAAATTTTAAAAATCTTCTTCAGTAATTTGATTGCATATGCCTCCCACAAAGGAATCAAAATTAGGTACAAATTTTTCGCCCGCGGTGCTTTTATGATCAGTAATTTTAGCTCCAAAAATAGGCTCAACCTTACGGTATTTTTTTTCGAAAAATAAATTTTGGTGGCGTGCAACAGGACGTATGGGCTTATTATTCTTACCAATTAAAATAAAGTTGTCATTTTTGTTTCGTTCAATACTGAGTATTGAGCAAAAAATTTTGAAAATATTTCTGACGTATAAAAACTGGAAATGAGTATTGATATAAGTCCAGTTTTTTATCTTTTATTACGTCAGAAATTTTCTAAAAAGTTATTGCGGTTGATTGCGTTTGAACCACCCCAGTTGGAAAAAAGATATCTATTGACGTATTTTTTATGACTTGTTATGCCTTAATAAAATCAGCCTAAATAAAGACGTGAAAAAGACGTCTTTTGAAAAAATGTCTTTAAAAAAGAGGTCGAAAAGACGTCAATCGGTTATACGTCTTTATTAAAACGTAGAAAAGACGTCTTTTATATCGATGACCTTTAAAAAAAGAAATAAGAAAATTTTTCTTTAAGTGTTAAATTAAACAACACCCAGTAGAAATTTTTTTTCTTTAGGAAGGAGGATAATTATAATTTATATATTATGTAATATATATATATATATATATATATATATATATATATATATATATATATATATATATATATATATATATATATATATATATATATATATATATATATATATATATATATATATATATACATACATATATATATACATATATATATATATATATATATATATATATATATATATATATATATATATATATATATATATATATATATATATATATATATATATATATATATATATATATATATATATATATATATATATATATATATATATATATATTAGGGTGAGTCATAAAATTTGTTTTTCTTGTTACAGGCTCTAAACATTGCTAATAGTTATTAATATTAATACTATCAAATATGAGAATGATTGTGATAGATTTAAAGGGCGCAACTTTACTGGGAAAATTACCGGTATCCTAATATTTTGGAGAAAAAAACTTTTTCAAAAGTAGGTCAAACTGGTACTCAAAAGAAGCGAAATAAACCTGGAAGCGAAATTTTATAAAAAATTCGAAAATAATAATCGTTTTATAAAAATCATATTGCCGAAAAAATTTGTTATTAAAAAACATGTAAAAATGCACCTTTTTTACTTTTAGTTAAAAAACTATAGTTATTATGCAATAAAATCTAAAATAATAATTTTTATATGAAAAAATTATTATTTTTGAAATTTTTATAAAGTTTCGCATCACATAATTTTGAAAACCTTTTTTTTGAATAATAATAGGGCCTGCTAATTTTTGTAATTATAGTTGTGGGTGGAAGACTTTGTTCAATCCATAAAAGTAAATACTTTCCTATATTAGTACATAAAAAAACAACTTTCTAGACCATAGTCAGGTTAGCAACTCTAAAAAAAAATTTTATGACCCACCCTAATATATATATATATATATATATATATATATATATATATATATATATATATATATATATATATATATATATATATATATATATATATATATATATATATATATATATATATATATATATTTACCGTTTATTTTTGGACTAATTTTTTAATGTTGTGCGTGAAAACGTTGTTTATTACATATTAAATTAAAAAATTTATTTTCAGATGAAAAATAAAATCTGTTAACTATTTCTGTCTGTTTTCTTTCTGTTCAAGTGCTAGTGAAACGAACTATAGAAAAGAAGAAGCATTCAGTAGGCTTGCAATTTTTTTAAATATATTTTTAAATGATCTGAATAATTTTGCTGTTTTTATTTAGTTGAATGATGAAGTTGTTTATACAAAAGATTGGCTCTTTAACTTTTATGTTAAAGTTGTTATACCCTTGTTAACTGTTGTCTGTCGTTAACAAAGCAAGTAAAAAAATGCTTATAATAACAACAGATTTATCTTTAGAACTGTTTGCAAAACTTTTGGTTTGGATACAAAAGATCTGAGAGGTGCAAATGTTTAACTTAGTTAAGTACTACCCAATAAAATACAGTCGTTGTACAGTACGACCATCAAGGTTGTAAATTTCTTTAGCAAACTCATTTTTATATATTTTTAGACTGTTTACCGTTTGACTCCTGTCCCAATCTAACCTAGTGGGTTCAAAAAGAAAGGACCGCGCTGGAAACATGAGGGGGTTAAAAGGATTAGCACTTTTTGAATTAATATTCGGTAAGTTTAACGTGTTTCACTCAGCTAATCAAGTTTCATTTGCTTTTTTGTATTACATTTAAGCAATAGACTGTTTTTTATGTTTACTCGTTTTTTAGATGTCGTAACTAGCTCGTATGAAAGGAATTCTCGACGTGAAATAGTTTTATTGAACAACGCCAACAAACAGAGCTCACTCAAAAAACAGGAAAGAAAGGGAAAGATGAAAAAATATTCTGTTGAACAATACTGTTGTTTTATTTATAAATTATTCTCCTATATTTAAACATATAAAAGATGTAGAACATGCTTCCTCTTTTATATTGACACCTAAAAGAGGTTTTTTTCTCGGTATCGGAACGAGCTTTTTGGCATACTTTGTATGAAGAGCTATTATCATTTTCATTTGATAAAAACAGCTTTTAATATATGCAAAGTAGGAGTACTATAGTGTATAAGACATTATAGTATACAAATAAGTATGACAAAAAAGTCGTTCCGAACCCGAGAAAAAAAGTGCATAATTGATAAACAAAGACGTCTTAAAGACGCATTTTTATGACAAGATTATGATGAAAAAAGACGTCTTTTCGATGTCGAAAAAAGATGTCTTTTAGATTTGCATAATCGATAAAATAAAAAAAGACATCTTAAAGACATAGTAAGTAAGACTTTTAAAGACGTCTTTTCGACGTCTTTTTTTCCACTGGGACAACGTTGGCAAATGTTTTTGAAAAATGTTGTTTGTGTATATTTTCAATTGAAATGAAAAATTTACAAATCGGTACATACACGTATACATGTTCAATATATAATATATAAAATTTAAAAGAGATTTGGAACTTAAGACTCAAAATATTTTGAAGATTTAAATTCATCTATTTATATTTTTTTATACAAAATTAAAACAGACAAACAAAAACAACAAATAAGATATATTATAAAACAAAATTTTTCTTTTAAAAAAATGAAAGAGTGTGTGTATTATTTAAATTTTAGTAAGTGTTTTTTTATAGTTCTTTTAAATATATCAATAGATTTTATTTTTTTCATGTTTTCGAGTGAACCCCGACAAAAAAACGTGAACCCCGACATGTAATTGAGAAGTCAGACTTTTTAGTGACGTTAGTGGAATGTAGTAAAACAAAATTTTTTGTAAATGCATTTTAGTGAAGCTGCACCGAGCAGTGTACGCCTTAGGGATGAATAATAAGTTAAAAAGAGTTTAGTAGAGTGAAATAAAAGTACAAAAGGACATATGTCCAGTGGAAAACAAAGAGCCTCAAAGTGGAAAAATATTATTAAAAACTGATATAAGTAAAGTGTAGTAAAAAATAAATAAGAATAATAAACAATAGTCAAGGAAAGTCATTAGTTGTTGTGCTATTAAATTATTGATAGTGTCTAGCGTAAATGTGACATGTGGGTGGAACTGGTAATGGAGTAGAATTATTCGTTTTATAAGTAGTCACCATGTGGTATGTATTATTAGGATGATAAACATACATTATAGATATAAGTGTCATGAACGTCTCGAGTACCGTATGGATTCGTGCCTCATGACCATAGTAATAGTAATAATAAGTATGTTTATGATAATTACAATGAAAAAATAATAATAATAACTAATATTAATATAATAATAAGTTAATGATTTATTAGGATGTTGTTCCAGAATTTTCATTCAAAAAACTCTTTTTATTTTAGTTTTGTTTATTGTTCTGGTAGTTTAAGTGGAAGGTTTTCAGATTTAGATGGCTTAGCAAACAAAATACATTTCGTTTTATCAGTATTCAATGAAAGTTTTATTAAGATATATTATTATCTTAAATTGAAACACTTATTAAGATATATTAGCTCTGTGTTTACATAATTAAAAATGTTTTTTAAATTTAAGTCTGAAAAGAAAATATTAGTGTCATCAGCAAAAATAATATAATAAAGTATTTTTGAGGACAAATAAATATCATTTATATAAATTGATAACAGCAAATGTATTGCTCTATGTGGGACACTGCATCTTATAGATTCAAATCAATGTTTATGACGCAAATTTTTCTAAAATTGAAATAAACCAAAAACTAAAAAATATAACATCCCAATGGATAACCAATGGACTGAAAAAATCTTCCAAAATTAAACAAAAATTATATATTAAGTACTTGAAATCCAAATCAGTTGAAAATAAACACATATTAAAAAAATATGTGCAAGAGAATTCAAAAGATAAAGAAAAAAATAAAAAAAAAATTTCGACTTACTTGAAATAAACAAAACAGCTCAAAACGTACTTGGCAAGTTTTAAGAGAAATCACTAGTAAAACTAAAACAAAATCAGGCACTTTGCCTAACGGTATTAAAGTTAACAATAAAATTTTATATGCTCCAAGCGAGGTAGCAAATGAATTAAATTAGCATTTTATTTTAGCGGGGCCTAACTTTGCAAAAAATATTCCATATACTTGTAATACTTTTGAATTATTACCTCAAAAAACATCAAATCTTAGTTACATTCAAATATCCTTTCAGGAATGTGAAGCTGCTTCGATGGTATCAACGGAAACGTTGTTAGAAATTCTTACAATTTTATTAAAAATAATCTTAAATCTTTTCGTCTTGCGTTAGCCGAGCAGTTTTCCCTGATCAATTTAAAATTGCCAAAGTAACGCCGATATTCAAAGGAGAAGATGCAATTAATGTAAATAACTATTGCGTGCAACTATTATGTGTGCTATAAGATAGAGACAAAATGATGTGGTCTTGAGGGAATCAAGTTGAAGAAAGCCCCAAAAAGTTTACCAGTAGAGTAGTGTTTTTAGTTTATGGTTAATTGGTGATTCATTACCTAGAGTGTGGTTGGTTAAGAGTCGTTTGTGGTATTTTAAAAAGAAGAGTTGATGTTTTGACAAAGAGTTGGGACAAAGTTTACAATAAGAATGTGATATGTGTACTTCTAAATGTGTACTAATTTGTTCTGAGGTTAAAGGGATTTTTCATTGGACTGTGAAGACAAAAAGGAAAAGGTGTGGACTAAGTTCTTTAGCGTTGGGTTCTTTAGTGGTGGGTTCTGGGTTCTTTGCTACTGGAATCTGCGTATAATAGATTGCGGACCTTCAAGATTGTGGAGACAACTATCAAGCTCTTACGGTTTCCACAGTTTAAATTCTCCGTCTTATCTTTTGTGAACAATGAGCGCCGTCTGAAATATTAACAAACGAAATAACAATAAAACAATAAACAAATAACAATGAGACGATAAGGCGAAATTTAAGATCGAGGACTGAAAAGCTTCCTTGATAGTTGGGGAGTACGTATTGTGTTTCAAGCCGCCTATTATCCTAAAAGAAACAGAAAAAATTTGTAAAAAAAATTATTGCACAATAAAAAGAATAAGAGAAAGATCGAAAATATTATTACCGAAGCAGTAAATTGGTAAAATGTTGCTGTCTAAAAAAATGGCGTAAGACCAATAGAAAAAATATGAAGTTATCAAAATGGTATCAAAAGAATAAGAAAAATAAATCTTTTAGCAAAAAATGGAGCAAACTAAAAATTAAAATAACCGCTTGATGTAAAACACATTCGAAAGAAAACTCAGTCATTAGACTTCGAAAGAAAACTCAGCCATAATGCTTTATTCTTGACGAAAAAATAGATGTGAGCAAAAATTATGAAAAGATTGAGGAAAACAGTGCAGACCAAAGTAATGATGATTCCAAATCAAGCGAAATGCACATTGAACCCAAGAATAGTCTTCAAAAAACAGACGTACTTTTGAAACGAAGTGATCAAGGGCGATGCATGCCTAAATTGTAATTTAAGTAAATTCTAATTTACGTGGCTTTTCAATTGATAATTATTGTAAATATCTTTTTACCTTATAATAATATGTTTAAGCGGGTTTTTATTTTTGAAGTTTATAAATTAATCTAAATTGTCAATAGAACTTGGAAGAGATTTGTAAGAAAACCCCACCTGGGTTCTCTTACAAATTCCAATAACTCAATTGGAACCCTGGGTTTCCAATTGAGTTATTGAGTTAAGAAAAGAAAAACTTTTTATTATTAGTATTGTGTTTACGCGAGAAAATTACATTTTTTTAATGACCTGAATGAAACAGTGCCCAATTTGATTCTTCAACAATTAGAAGTTTTATGGAGATAATTAATGTAGATAAGAAAGAGAAGTGGTCCTAGTATTAGGTTTTAAGAAACCCTTCTAGTTATATCTAATAAATCAGATGCAACAATTGTATTACTATAAATAAACTGTTTCCATTGTTTAGTTAATATTTAAGTAGCATTAATTTCCTCTATATTTAATAACACTCATATTTTTTAAATTTAATGATCATTTTGTGATCAAAATGCTTTTGCTAAATTGATAAAAACTCCAATGTTATATTAGCATTTATCAGAAAATTTAGTCATGCTGCGGGTAATTTGGAGTGCTGCGTATTATTATTTTTTAAACTTTTATTAATTGTGATGTTGTATATTATTTTTTTGAATTCATAATGATTTTGGTATTGTATATTGTTTTAAAAAAGATACTTAAAAGTTTTTTTTTTTTTTTGTATGTATTTAGGTGCTCCCAGAAGTCCTTATGGTCTTATCATAAAGCACCGCGGGAGAGCATTTAATAGGAAGTTCACGCCTCCTTCCGTACCAATGTCGCTTGTTGGGCTGGAGCTGGCGTCGAACCTCGGACCTCTGGGTTCTGAGCCAGAACTCTAACCACTGCGCCACGGCTGCTCCTAATGCACATCATTTAATGATGTGCATTGGGCTGCTATCCAAGTTATTAGCTGTTAGCAAGTTATTAGCTATCCAAGTTATTAGCTGTTAGCAAGTTATTAGCTATCCAAATTATTAGCTGCTAGCAAGTTAATAGCTATCCAAGTTATTAGCTGCTATCCTGCTCCCTGCGCCTCGGCTGCTATCCAAGTTAATTTATATAGTGATAGTTTGAAGCATTCGTTGCATTACTTCTTCTGAAAATCGATGATTTTCCTGAAAACTACCTGTTTTATTGAAAAAACTTTAAAGATTATATCATGATTTCGTATGAGTCAAAAACAACTTTGCAATAAATATAGTTAAAAGAAAGTTCGAAATGAAAGAAAAAATGAAAGAAAGTTCGAAATAATACTTCGAAGTAATATAAAAACAAAGTTATTGGAAATAACTTTGTTCTTATATTACTAATATTACTAATAATAAATCTTTTGTTTTGTTACGATAGGAAGTATTTATCAATTATTGATAAATATTAACAAACGATAATTAATTAAAAGAAAGTTTTTTAATAAAAACATTTTTGTTGCATAGATATTAAATAAAAGTGTTGCGTCAAAACGCGATTGTTGGTTTTGAGGCAGGCAAGGTTTACAAAGTAAATCTTATTACGTTATGGTCGCTATTTAAAATATAGTTTTATGAAACTGCACATTTTTTCAGATAGTTGATATATTTTTTTCAGATAGTTGATATTTTTTTTTTTTTTCACGAAAAATGTTCCCATAAAGCTTCCTCGAAAAAAAAATATCTCGAAAATAAACTTCTCAATAAATGGATTTATTTCTAATTTTACCCGAAACTAAAAATCATTCATTAATCTCAAAAATGATTAGAAAAAAAAAAAATTAGAAAAAAAAAATTAGAAAAAACAGAGCAGGTTCAGATTTTCATAAAATCTCCTCCTTTCCATATTTTCAATTTTGTAATAACCATTTTTCTATAAACAAAAACAATTTGTATACTCGTGTCCGTAAACTAAATTCATTAAATTATAGTAACCTACAATTTTAGGTTACTTTGTTTTTCTGATTTTAGTTTCCAGGTTTTATAAATGTTAATAGTCAAATGTGATCTTTAAAGTGTAACATAACATATAGATAATTTAAGTTTAGTGTTTCTCATGCAATGAATATCTTTTTTTTAATATTATTTTGCAATTTAATTTTTAATAACAGGTTTTAATAATTTAATTTTTAATAATTAACAAACATATATTGATATTAAACTTTTATTACCTGTAAAATCAAAATATTGATTTTTTTATTAGTTTCAGCTTATATATTCCATGACTACTTTAGTTTCGAAAACAATAGATAAATATAATTCCTCTTTTATAAGAAAAGTTCTACGACAGAAACAAGTATTATAAAAGTAATAAGTTTAAGTAATACAATTACTCATATACATGTAAAAAAATATATACTAAAAAACTGTTTAAAATACTTACTTCAATATTAACGAGTAGCAATTTGATTGCTAAAAAGTTAAAAAGAAATGCGTGACATACTTGTAAAGTTTTTTTATTTCTCCCTAATAACAACACTTGCTAAAGGTATTTTTACTAATTTTATATTTTTCAAAATCATTTTACAGAAAGGTTTTAAAACTTAAACTAATATATATATATATATATATATATATATATATATATATATATATATATATATATATATATATATATATATATATATATATATATATATATATATATATATAACACATATATATATATATAACACATATATATATATAAATATGTGTGTGTGTGTGTGTGTATGTGTATATGTAATTTGTATTTGCATATACATTAGAGTGCATTGAAAAGTAACAACTTTTAAAAATTGCCATTTTATATAATAAAATAACGCTAAACTTAAAAAATACTTCAATAAAAAATATATTTAGAAGTTCTTTAAGACCCTTGTACGTTTACATGGTCTCTAATATTAAAAGTTCTCTAGAAGTATGTCAATCTGGTACGCATATATATATATATATATATATATATATATATATATATATATATATATATATATATATATATATATATATATATATATATATATATATATATATATATATATATATATATATACTTTTATCCCTTTGGGGTTTTTAGAATGGTTCCGGTAGTTTTTATAGAGTGTTTTTAGTATATATATTTACTCTAGGCCATTATGAATATTTAATGCGACTTTTAAATTTCTTTTATTGCGCAGCAAACTATTCTAAAAAAATGTTTTCGAATATTGGCTTTATGTTTAATAATATATGTATAAAAACTCGGCAAATATAATTTTTTTAAAAAACCAGCCCGTCGTTAAGTTATTATTATTCTTTTTTTGCTCTTTCTAAAAAAGTTAATAGATTTAATACTTCAACAATAAGCTGATAATAGGATTATTATTTGAAAGATTAGCAGTGTTAAAAAATGAGTCATTCGAATAACTACCGGCTAGTAAAAAGTAATTCTTTTAAAATTCAAATTTTAGTCGTAATATTTTACCAAGAAAACATTATACAAAAACTTACATAACAAAGATAAAAGTAATAATAATAAGTAGTTATAAATAGTTAAGAAAATCATCACATATTAATGTTCTGACCTAGCACTAAGGTAAGGCAGGGAAGGATCCAACATTTTTTTTTTTCGTTAAGCTAACTTATAGCCATAGAGCAAACTCTAAACATTTTATGTTTATACTTATGTCGAATAAGAATACTTTGCAAAAAATTGCGATGGAAAGAGCCTGAGAATAAAAAAGCCCCAAAAAATTTTTCCTCCCTGCCCTAAACGTGGGAGCAACAACTTGATAAAATTAGACTTATATCCATCAATAAACTTTGTATAGTATAATCTCTCAGCGTTCAAAAATTATGACCATTAAAATTTTTAACCCTCTCTAATTGAGGTGGATTCAATCTCATAGACTAAAAAAATGCTGGAATCAAATCTGTGTTCATTCAATCTGCTTCTTTGAAAACCGAACGTTTTGGAATAAATTAGAATATTTTCTTTAAAAAAAGATATGTCTGTTCGTTCACGTGTCTTTGAGAATATAAGAAGTATGTAATTGTCTATTTCACTTGTCTCACCTGAGGTTTTATTTTACCATAAGGATACCTTCCTTTAACGAGTACATAAAAATTTTTAAATAAGAAATTTAAGCTTTTTTAATTTTAGATTGTAATGTTAATTAATATGTTTTTGGCATTACCAAACACAGATAAATTGTTTCGTTTCATGATTTTAAAAATTAAAGCAAGAAAGAAATATTTTCGCTTTTCAAATTTCAAATATTTAAAAGATTAATAAGATTTTTATTGAAAATCAAAAATTTTGTTCTAAATTTTTTCAAACATGTTTTAAATATTTTTTGTATTTAATATAAGGGCTGTGCTGTTTCATATGGGGGTTACTTTAATATAGGCTATCCATTAATTATGTTAACAATTTTTTGGAATTTTTTCCTCTACCCCCATCCTCCTGCTAGTCAATAACTTGTCAAATTTTTAGAGACCTAAAAAATCCCTAACCCTCTATAAAATTATTTCAACATTTGATTACCCTCCCCTCCCCTAATAAAATTAAAATGAAAAAAATCAAATAATATATATATTTTTTAAGTAATTAAGTTTATTTTAAAAAATAACATGATGTCAAAATGTTTTGAACTCCCCCTCCACCCCTTGACAGCAACTGTCAAAATATATTTTAGACCCCGTCCCCCTATTTTTTGACATAAACAATTGCCATTCTTATAGAATATGTTTTTGTTTTACACAGAATATGCTCTGAGTATTTTTTTGTTTCACACAGGGCTGTGGAGTCAGAGTCGGAGTTGCGACTTTTTTTAGCGGAGTCGGAGTCGCTAAACAAAATCGCGATTCCGACTCCAATAGTAAAACTTCTCGGTATTGCACGTGCATGTACAAAATATTCAATTAAACTTATATTCATACTAAAACTCAAAGAACTTTTCATAAATTTGTCAAAAAAAAATTTGTAACTTATCGCGTAATATTTTTTAAAGAATTCAAAGAATTTTTTCAAAAATTTTGCTTTGGAGTCGGAGTCGGAGTTGGAGTCGGAGTCGTACTTATTTCAACAACTGCAGTTGGAGTCGGAGTCGGTACTTTTTTCACATATGTTCTGAGTAGGGATCGGACTATTGTAATTGTAATTGTAAAAATTTAATACAATAACAATTACAATACAATAATATTGTATTGTAATACCAGAAATGTAAATAAAACATTATTTATGGTTATTGTATTGCTGTGAATAAAAACAGTTACAATAACTATTGTATTGTTTTTTTTTCTAACAATACATTGAAACTGTATTGTATTGCTGAGATGAAAAACAATTACAATAACTATTGTATTGTATTGCTGGGATAAAAAACAATTACAATAAGTACTGTGATGTATTGTATTACTATTTCAAAGTTAAAAGCTATTGTATTTTATAGTATTTAGATTCTTTTTTCACGCATTTATTATTATTTGGGCATTAGCAAATTTAGAGGTGCCCGTAACGCTCGTTTTCAGCAGTCATTTATATATATAAATTTTATTTATTTTGAGCAGTGAAGTGAAGCCAGAAAAGCCATAGATGTATATATATTACGAATACTTAATAAATATAAAGTTCAGGGGCGCTCATGGCACCCATTTCTAGCAACCATTTACATATATAAATTTAATTTATTTTGAGTTTAAATAATATAAATATTTAAATAATAATTTATTTAGAATTAACAATAATAATATTTATTCAAAATCATACAAATTTATAATTTATCATGTGCTTGTAATAAAATAATTATTTACTTTAAGTAGTGAAACTTTTTTTTTTCAATATATCTAACCGCTAATGTGTAATAAATTACAAGTTATGAAATTAGAGAACCATTGACCTGGGTAATTATCAATTTGATTGTCTAAAAATGTGAACTACTTTTGTTTTGTAAAAAAATTTTCTGCATTTTCAGATTGTTCATCACCTATCAGACAGTACCAGTAGATTTTGTGTGGATCATTTTTGAAAAATGAAGCAGTTTAGAACACCAAATAAATATTGTTCTTGATTTATGTAACAAAATTCTTCTATAACTTTGCAACTAGATGTCCAGTTACTTTATGAAACACATACAGCCATAAAGCCTAAGGAAAACAAAAGACAAAGTTATATTAGAGTAAGTGTGAGTTAAGTAAGTTGTAGTGGGTCATTAGTGAGATAGTTGCGCCCTTAAATTTCACCCTCAAGGTTAGGATAAATACGCGCCTTTGATATTGTTAAAGTGAGATAGCTGTGCCTTTAGGTTTGTGATAAATGTTCACCTTTGATTTGAAAATGAAACAGTTGCACTTAAGTTTAAGAAAATACTTAACTTTGAAAGTTTTTAAAGTGAATATTTGCGCCATTAAGTTTGGAATAAATGTTCACTTTGATGTTGTTAAAAATATAGAAAATAATATTTTTTAAACTTAAAAGATGTTTAAAACGAAAATAAACATATTAAAATATTTGATCAACTTTTAAACGTTTTCTTTCATCCTTGTTGTTTAAAAGCTGCAGAGATGAACGTAACGCAATATATAGGGTCAGATAAGTCACATATATTGACTTTTCTGACTTGCAATACACATTAAATGTACATTAATTGATAAAGGAAAATAAAAAACACTATTTATTTTTGCTAGTTTATTTAGATATTTTATTTATTTATTTGGTTTACTACTATTTAAAAACAGTCTGCTAATAATAAGAGACGTACAAGATGTCCACGTCAAATAATAACAATAACATTGCCTAAATAAATTTTCTTATGAAAATTAGGATATTTCCTAATTGCCATAATAAAATATGTCTATAAATTACTACCTCTAAAATTACTACCTCCTACAAATTAATGTCAAAAGTTTGCAAAAATCATTATACAACTTCATGTGTAATTTTTTTAAATTCAAAATGATCTATTCACTTATATTATAAAATAGTTTTAGAATACTTCAAGTGATTCATTTTAAAAGTTGTTACTGAGGTATATTTTAAAAGTTGTTACTGAGGTATATTTTAAAAGTAGTTACTGAGGTATATTTTAAAAGTTGTTACTGAGGTATATTTTAAAAGTTGTTACTGAGGTATATTTTAAAAGTTGTTACTGAGGTATATTTTAAAAATTGTTACTGAGGTATATTTTAAAAGTTGTTACTGAGGTATATTTTAAAAGTTGTTACTGAGGTATATTTTAAAAGTTGTTACTGAGGTATATTTTAAAAGTTGTTACTGAGGTATATTTTAAAAGTTGTTACTGAGGTATATTTTAAAAGTTGTTACTGAGGTATATTTTAAAAGTTGTTACTGAGGTATATTTTAAAAGTTGTTACTGAGGTATATTTTAAAAGTTGTTACTGAGGTATATTTTAAAAAAATTAAATTTCTTCTAAATTCGTTAAAGAAATAATAAAAATTCAAAATCATCAAAATTACGATTGCTTGTTCTGATATTAATAATACAAACTCATCTATAGTTTTAAAAAAAG